CTTTTCTGTCCAAATTAAAGATTAATTTGGATCGTTTCCATTCACATTTTTCTTGGAAGAGCTAAAACTATCCAGTTACTCAGTAATTTTATCAGCCAATCAAAAGTCAGGAGAAACAATAAAAATTGACTTTGAACCAATCAGCGCGCGACTTTCGCTTGCCGGCCGGCCTTGTTTACTTTTTTTCTTCTTGTAATTTTTTTCAAAATGGCGGAGGAAGTAGTAAATTGGGCTTTTTTTGAAGACCTTTTTAGCGTAAAAAACGATAATATAGTAGAGATGGAACTTTGATATAATTAATCTGCAATAGGACTACATGTCTGTCTAATTTGGAAATAATTGAATGCAAAAAATTCCTATGACTGCCAAATTGGACTCGGCCTATTGGCCTCTTTCAATTTTTTCAGTCCTCGGAATTTTTTTCAACCAATTATTTCCAAATTGGACAGCATGTAGCCCTATTACCTATACTAATTGATGTTCTTTCGTTTCATAGCCTAGAAAAATGTCGCCACCCACTGCTAAATCGAGCTTTCCATACGTTACTACCGTGATATCCATTTTCGTTATCCTGCTTCCAGCTGCTGAAGCCAAGACACAAAGCTCACAATGCTATTTCGGTGGTTACAAGCCTGGTGGAAATCTTCCTAAAATAATGAAGATATACGCAGTACCACCTGCCAAATTTGAAACGAGTGTCCTTGATACTGCGCTTGACTATTGGAGGTGTGACGGCTGCTACACTGGGCGTCATCGATGCTGTAGCTGTAACACTTAAGGGATCGCCCCAGGTTTCTGCAGCTTTGGGTATTATGGCTGTTGGTTCTGGGTATGTTTCTAGTAGTCCTAGCCCTACTGACGTCCTGGACAAGGCTTTCAAATCAGTAGAACTTCTGACTGAAGAGGTGAATGAAAGAATGAGTCAGTTGCAAGACTACATCGATGTACAAACTTTGCAACTTGAGAGACTGATCATGACCAGAAATTACAAAGAACTATTTGATAAATGGTCTAGATGCGCAAATCATCGACCAGGACGAGACCCAAATCAATGTCAAGAAGATGCAGAGGAAGACATCGTAAGTGCTCGTTTCCATTTTCAGCCCTTACAAGAACTCTTAGAAGAGAAACAGTCAAGTGGCAAGCAAAAGTACGACCCACATTTTTATTTCAGATATATTGCTACCTGGCAGTGGATGAAAGAGTACGAAGGTAAAGGTTATTTCTGGGCTCCCACTTACGATGAGGTGAAGAAGCTTGAAATTGGACTCATCCCATTCCGTGACTATGCTACTCTGCATCTTGTAGCCTTAGAGGCACTTGCCAACAGTTACAAAGATAAAGTTGGAGATGAATCTTGTGAAATCTACAAGCATACCTTAGCCCTGATCGCTCAAAACTCAGATTATTACGTTCGTTTCGTCAAATGGGCCTTTGAATGGATCTACATCCGACAATACGAAGAAAACATGTATTTTGGAGTAAAGGGAAGGGCAGGTGGAGGATCTGATTCAGGAGAACGCAATGGATTTTTGTCAACCACAAAATGTACAGGAGGCAAGTGTACCATCGAGTGTAGCCAGTTGATGAAAGATAATCTTTGTACCGTGCAAAGCAAACATAAATATGATGCAATGACAATGGCAGATCTCTGTGATGATTATTGACTCAGTTCTGGACCGAAAATGTTCTACGAGTAGCGGAACGTTGGGAGAAGTATGGAAAAGACGCTAAGAAAAAACTTGCTGCAAAAAAATGCAAGTGCCAACACAGACATAGACACATACATGTATCTAGATTGTCTTAAGTCATATTCTATGATAAGAGTAAGAGGGATGTGACGTTAACAGCTATTTTGAGCGAACCATTGAAATTTCATGTGATTTGATAATATGCTTTCAGGAGGTCTTAAATTGCTATATATTTTTTCAATAAAGCCTCTAAGAACGTGTTTGATACTAGAGAAACATTTTGTTACTGGCATGAAATCGTGTTATTCAGGGGTTTTGAACCGTTTGAAAATTTGCCTCTCACTCGCTATGTATATGTTATGGAAAGGAGTACAACTACGCCTTCAAAATTTCAGATGATCGGGCAAAATCTTTTGAAGGTTTGGTTTGGCCATCTAAGATGAAAAAATCAAGTCTTTGAGAAGAGCATTATTGATCTCAATCGAATTAAATATTGTTATGTTCCTATACATGCATAAGGAATGAATGGAGGTCATTCCTACGAAAAGGAAACATATTTACGTGAAGCATGATGGGTGGCGTAGCTGTGAGAGCGTTCGCTTCTAACCAAGACGACCCGGGTTCTTCAATTTCTTACGTGAGTAGAGCTGTTCTTCGGTTCTCTCCTGTATTTCGAGAGCTTTTTTTCCGGTTTTCCTTCCTCCGTGAAAATGAACTTCTAAATCTCAATTGGAATTCACTGGAGGAAGAACTACTCCTTAGAAATGCCACTAAGTTCTGATTTATTTTTTATTATTCTTATTTTCTTTCTCTTTTATCTATTACATCTATGCCAAAAAGGTCTATTCATGCCAACTTTCGCTCCATAGTATTTTGAAAATAATAATTCCACCATGTTAAAGTTACAGTTAAATACAGAGAACGGAAGCAATAAGCCATATAACTAGCCCGAGCGCCGCAGGCTCGAGCCTAATAGACCCCTTGCATGTGACATCACAGCCATTCAATTTGGAGAACCGAACATAAAATTTCGATCTCCATGAAAATGGTACCTAAGATCTATTGTCGACGTTCAGAAGGTTTTCACACAAAACATATTCCTACAGGACGTCATTGATCCAATTATTGCTCCGTAATTCTCATGAGGAAATACTAAACAAATTATTTTCAATTCTGTTTATTGTAATGTTAATAAGCTTCATCAAAAGGGTTAATACAACTCTTTGTCCATCATATTCCAATTCCATTAGATAGCTATGTAGTTTGCAGTGTAAAATATCTATTGTCGTGAATTGAAATTCTTTACTTTCAATACGGCATCCTTTTACGTACGTTCTTTGTATTAGTGCCGTAAGTTTTCAATACGTACACTTTTTATACAGTAGGGCTCGATTGTACGAAGCCTGGATAGCGCTATCCGACGGATACATCTTATCCAGTGGATAAATTTATTGGATAATAGCATCGACCTATCCATTGGATAAGGATTTATCCGCCGGATAGTGCTATCCAGGCTTCGTACAACCGGGCCCTGGACGTTATATATTTTCATAGCTTGGCTAAACAATATACGCTTTAATTTAAATATTGTCGTAACTTGATTCTCGTGCATACAATGACCATTCTTATGCAAAATCATTACAATGAAACGGCATATCATACTTTTATCCTACGTCACGATAACCAGTCTGCAAAAAGTCTAAACTAGTGGAAGAATGCAAAATTGTAGTTGAACCTCTGCTACATTTTGATTATTATTTTTCCATCTCAGGTCAATGAAAAACCAGTGGCAAACAAAGGAAGTAAAGAAGAATGAAAGTGGATATGTATCTTTACCTCACAAACACACAATGCACCTTGTGAAGCATTGAGATTGTTAAAATAACCTCTAATAATGGCTGGAATGATAACGAGTTTCATTGGTGTGTATACCTTTTTTGTTTATCTGAGTTTCTGAACATTGTTTCAAAAGTCCCCTTCACAGTTCCCCGCGCCATCTTGAAAGGTAGCCGTGCCTTTGCATCGATGCGAGACGAACGGTGAGCTTGCAATGATAAAGACATGTGAATTATTGTCCAAGGTGTTTTAAAGGCCGGTTTAGACGGTACGATTTTCGCCTTCAACTATCGTATACAACACGCTCGCGCCATCCTACAACTCGAGTCGTAGCGTGTAAATCAAGCCTACGTCGCCTACGACAGACGCGAGCGTGTTGTATACGATAGTTGTAGGCGAACATCGTACCGTCTAAATCGGCCTTAAAAAGGCAAGCAAGCTCACCGTTCGTCTCGCGTCGATGCAAAGGCACGGATACCTTTCAAGATGCCGCAGGGAACTATAAGAGGGACCATTGACCTTTTTAGCTTCGTATGCAAATTGTCCATTTTAGATCACATGAGTGAGTAATCCAGTACCGCTCGAAAGCAACAAACAACAAAGCTAAATAGGTCTCATACTTCACATTATTACTCTCACTTGAGTTACTATATTAGCACCTTTTTGCACGACCGTTTACTACAGAATGTTTTCTGTACGTGTGAAATAAAGGATAAATAAATGAATGCTTGTCTCAAAGTTGTGTGTTTTTGGCTGATTTAATCTTCTTTCTTTGTTTGTTAACTGATGTATTTTCTTCTTTCTCTCGATCGCTGTCCAGGATCTCCTAGCCTAGAACTCGCTCACAACAAACTTGAGAAAAATGGCTACAGCGCAACGCGCAAAAGTATGACTACATTTAACGTATTTGCACACTTCTATGCTCGGGCTTTATTTGGTGCGAATACATTAAATGTGGTCATACTTTTGCGCGTTGCGCTGTAAGTCAATAATTAAGCAACTATTAATCATACTTAAAATTTTAAAGTCGTGCTAAGGGCCAGTCATTATTTAAGTCGGAGGGGGGGGAGGGGGGTGGGGAGAATTTTTTAAACGATTGAAGGGGGGTACCCGAAAAACATGAATGCTATTAGGTTGGGGCCTGAAATTTTTTTTGCATCAAAAACACTCCCCCCCCCCCGACTTTAAGGCCGGCACACACAAGGGAGCTTGCTCCCGCAACACGCTCCCGGAACTAAGCTCCCTCGTCTGTACCAAAGATTTCACGCGGGAAAAAATGTCTCGCAACAAAACTTTTGCTTCCGGGTTTTGCTCCCTCATATCATATTAAATGATAAATATGATGGAGCAAGCTTGAGGAGCAAATCTGTTGCAGAATCGTGTTTCGGGAGCAAGCTCCCTTGTGTTAAACTTTTATTGCCGCGCAACAACCTGCGGGAGCGTGTTGCGGGAGGAAGCTCCCTTGTGTGTGCCCGCCTTTAAATAATGACCGGTCCCTAAAGGACCAAAATGGAAAAGTCCAGTAAACCACCAATCAAAAATTTCAATTACAAGTAAAGTTTTGCTTATATTAGCAAGTAAAATTCAACAAACACGTCACTGTACCGGTGGGCTGTCATCATCGTCGGACGACTCGAAAACTCGCTTAATGCGTTCGTGTAGCTATGTGCTGTAGAAACGAAACCATCTGCAGTGTTTGGCGACTTGTTTACAGTATTTATCGTTAGATTAAATTGTCCTCCATGAAAGACTGCTCCAATAAAAGGACCTGTTGCAGGAAGAATTGAATTATAATTCTTCGCCGTCCCTTCTCCCAACAGCAATAATGAATTCGCTGATATGGTTATTTAATTCTTCTGGTGGAATTTCTTGGATTTCTCTTGCTTCGTTCTTCTCTTTTAGGAACTCAGTCAATAAACCAACATCTCTTCGTGTTTTGGAGAGAATATTCTTGTTTTTTTGTTCCTCAATGAACCGTCCACACTAGTCCGGGCGAATCCGGAACAATTCTTCACCGGAAACGATTTTTTTCGAATACGGTCTCCAGAGTGGAACAATTCAAAAACGCCGGCTAAGCGTATTAGTGTGGACGGAGAACATTTCGTACCCGAAATTTTTCGAATATGATGACATCATGATTGTCATCGAAAATAACATAGCGGGAAGGCTAAAAATTCGCCGCAGGCTCAATTTCAGCTTCGATGCACATGCTCTGATGTGCAATGAAGCGTTTTTGCCGCCTCTGATCGGACTAGTGTGGACGCGAAACATTTTATCCGTTTTCATGTGTGGACGGGAAACTTTTTTTCGGTTTCGATGTGAAAGTTGCGGATTCAAATTTATCTGGCATAGTGTGGATGGGGCCTCAGCCATCTCGCTAATATATTTTGAGGTGAAAATAAAGAAAAAACGAAAGAAAGAACAACGACAAAGCTCGACAAAGTTGCCGAAATAGCGATACGTCTTGATAGCTCTTTTGTGATTGGATAAACCGATTTTTTTTACATGTAAGACATTCGTTTCGCCATTCTGATTGGCTAAAAGAGGATCCAAGAGGGATCAAGAAGGATCCCGGTTTTGATTCTGTTCTAAGAAATCAGCTCGCGTGAATAAGGTGTATAAGTAATTTTTAACAGGTGGACTCACTGACTTGATTACTACATCATGCACATACCACATTCAATGAAAAGTATCGCATGAATAACGGTGCAAACAACTTAATTTAACTTGATTTATTTTAAACAATTTGCGTTAACATTGTCTTGACCATGGGTACTTAAGGTAACATTTTCATTTCTCCAAATCCCCCCACAACCACCCCCCAACCAAACACCAACAACAACAACAAAGTAGTCCAATGGGGTTCTGCCCGGCACTAGTTTAATGCACAACAACAATTCCAATAAAAGGTTTTACAATACCATCATAAACCCCACAACAATACTTCTCTAAAACTGGGCAAGGGAGATGATACACGAAGACGAATTCCTCACAGTTCGCGTAAATTCTGGGCAGTGTCATAAAAAATGCTATCTCCTTCTGCAGGAATATGGCCCCTTCTTCTATATCTATGACTGAGGTATCATCAGGCAGTGCTGGTGCGTCGGGTACCTTTTCACGGTTTTTTTGAATCGATGTCAGGGCAGACTGTGTCATTTCTTGTATATCGAAGCGAAACTTCTCGTTTTCTTGGTAAAGATCCCTGATGGACTGAAAAGCTTCGGTGTAGGCAGGACAAGGCTCCACGTCTTCAACCCACTTGACAAAACTGAACTTTTCCTCATCACAACCGATTTGCTTCATGACATCTTTGCATTTGTTTCGTAGCCTGTTAACATTGGCTCGAGCAGATTTCTCTGGGTTTGTTGAACCAACTGCTTTGAAATTATGTTCAGTGAGTTTATCGGGAAGGAATAACAGCACCAAAAAACAAAAACATGATGAAATAGTAATCAAGCCTTCAGCTTCAAATGAGCTCGTTTGACAGTTTGCGTTGCTTTGTTATCAGGATTAACTTCAGGACCATTAATATAAAGTCATACCTTATCTGATTTGTCTTTTACCAAGGAGAACAGCTTCTGTAAGTTCTCCTTTTTGTAGTAATGTGGATTCCCAGGGCTGATTCCTAGCAGAATAGTGCGTCGATTTTCAAGAAATTTCTGGCCATTGCGAAAAACGATCTGTAGGTCGGCCATTTTTACAACACCATTCGTTTAGGCTGAAACGTTCTTATTTATGGCATTTGGTTAATCAACGCGTCTGTGATATGTCTGTCAATCAACTGCCACATTGTTGGTTCTCATCCAATCGTAAGCCGCAAAGCTTTCACTAGCTTGTAATAAATTAGCCAGTTTTGACACGTAGGCCGGACGTTTTTTTCTTTTCCTGAAAAGCTCAGTTTTTACACACACGTATTAAATTGTGAAAAAACACAAATAGACACTAGACTGTATATACATAGCCATATGTATAGACACAATACACACTCATATCTTTGTTTGTTTGGTCCATACACAGAATAGAGACTAGACTGTGTATACGTAGCTATAAATAGATACAAAATAAAGTTCTCTTTGTGTATTATGTTTAAAAAACAATTTCAAACGTTCTTTTTTTGTGTTTGCTCGATATTTATCTGAAAGGAGAGGTTGCGCGATATATTTTTCGTAAGTGAAGCTAGTCCTTTTCCGATATTTTTTTGGGGGGATTTACGCAATTCCCCCACCTCTCCTCCATAATGTAATGTCTCTAACTCTCTAAGCTAATATATTGAAGAATACACACAATATAAACACACGTATATTATGAACATAACTGACACATGAGACAGTCGCATCTTTGTTTTTTTTTTTTTTTTTTTTTTTTTTTTTTTGTTCTTTCTTTCTTTCTATTTTTAAATTTACACTATACAACCGACATATACATAGCCATAAAT